AAATATCATGCATTGATACACCGTAACATTCTAAAAATGATGGATTATCATGGCAAATATCACAATATGCTTTCAACTTTAATTTTAAAACATTGTCAATAAACATTTGAACATATAAATTATTAAAAAGAACATATAAATTATTAAGAAGAACATATAAATTATTAAAAAGAACATATAAATTATTTAAAAGAACAAATTAAATTACCTCTTTAATAAACTCTTCATTGTATTTTTTTGATCCATGTAATAGTTTAAGTGCGACAGGTACATCAACTCCTTGATATTTATTATCCCAAACGGCATAGTATACTGTTGCAAATCCACCTAGTCCTATTTTTTCGATTTTTCTAAATTCATTATAAGGAATCCACGATAATGGATATTTATTTTCAAGTAACTCCTTTTTTAGTTTTTTATCGATATCAGAATTCTGATTTAACCATTCGATCGGAACTAAAAAAAAAAAAAAATTTAACCGTTAAATTCTAAATCATTCAATAAAAATAATTTAAATATTTAAAATTACCCAATGGTTTATTTCTTTCTCTATTTAATTAAAAAATATATATTGTAAATATAGGATGCAATATAAATCTCGAAAAATTACGACAATCCATACCAGACAGGTTATCTGGCATTTCGGAAATTCTTCTGTATGGTATTTCTTGTCTTAATTTATTATAATGATCATAATAAATAGAATATTTACCGTTGATATTGATACCAATAATTTGCATTCTGTAAATTCCTTGCTGTTCCTATTCCATTTCGATAACAATTAGCAACTACAGATATTCCAGAAGAATGACCCATCACAGCAGATTTTAAATAATAAGTGAATGCCTTGTATTCATCTTTTTCAACTCCTATTCCATTTCGATAACAATAACCAATATTATATGCTCCATCAGCATGACCCAAGTCAGCAGATTTCAGATAATAAATGAATGCCTTATGTTCGTCCTTTTCTACTCCAATTCCTTCATCATAACAATATCCGACTTGTAATATTCCATTAGAATCGTTCATTTCAGCAGATTTTTGATAATAAGAGAATGCCTTGTATTCATCTTTTTCAACTCCAATTCCATTTCGATAACAATATCCAACTTTACATATTCCACTAGAATGACCCATAACAGTAGATTTTAAATAATAAATGAATGCCTTATGTTCATCCTTTTCAACGCCAATTCCTTTTTCATAGCAGTAACCAACATTATACGTTCCAATAGAATTACCCATCTCAGCAGATTTTTGATAATAAATGAATGCCTTATGTTCATCCTTTTCAACTCCAATTCCATTTTGATAACAATAACCAACATTATATGTTCCACTAGCATTACCCATATCAGCAGATTTTTGATAATAAATGAATGCCTTATGTTCATCCTTTTCAATTCCAATTCCATTTCGATAACAATAACCAACATTAAATGTACCGCTAACATGACCCATATTAGCAGCTTTTTGATAATAGACAAATGCATCACATTCATTTTTCTTGACACCAGTTCCGTAATAATATTTTTCACCTAATTCGTATAATTCGTTTGCGTTCATTTGAAAAATTTGCTTTATTTTTTATCAATATTTAAATAAGAAAAGACAGCATCCGTTTATTTGATCATCGTTTTAAATTATGCCAGCGTTCATACGTACAGTACATGGTGCGACGTTTCATAACATATAACTTTTTATGATTTTCATAAATTACACAAATTGTTTCGAAATGGACTTCGAAATTTGATTGTAAAATTAAAGTGTAATAATAATTTGTTTTTGACCAACAACAGAATTTATAAATATTTGTTGCAAGAAACACACGGAAATATTAAATTGGTATTTATTCTTTATTTAATGTATCTGAAATTTTAAAGGAACAAACCATAAACTTTTTCAAACAAACTTTGGCGGCCAACTTTAGAATGATAGTTGGATTTACTTCGTATAATGTAATATTTTATAACAAACAAGGGAATTTAAATTCAACTTTTGACCTGAATAATATTTTCTTTTTCTTTCATACATATTAATAGATTTAAATAAATACTGTACTTTTGACCTGATTTTAACCCTTTATGCTATCAAGATAATTTCAAACCTAAATATAATTTTTACGTTTCAAGAGAATTTAATTAATATATTTTTGACCTCAATATAGTTTTTATGCTAGCAAAGAAAACTTTAATCGGTAATTCGCCTTAACTACCATAATATTTATTATAGAAAAACTCAATGCAGTCATTATAAATTTACTATAAGGCAAAATGCCATTTCCAAAAAGTTATTTTTTACTAATTAAATTTTCGTCTTTGGTTTTTTAAATAAAGCTATATAAATAGAAGTAAAAGAATAAATATTCTTTGGGTTTCTAAAATGAAGTAGTAGATAATGATTATTTAGTCTAATGGTTGTCACTCATTCCTACAAGTCCCTTACCCGACATCACATAAGGTTAGGTTTAGCATTTGATTAGCATTTGATTAGTTGCAGGTATATATTTTAGCAAATTGTCACCCTGAGTGATATCAGATAAGTGACATGTAGGGGAAATAGCTTTCAGGGAATCGTACTGTAACTGTTCTAATGGCTGTAAAAATCATCAACATTGGTTCGATTATCTGATCTAATTGAATAGTTTGAGTATTTAATTAATAAAATTATTCATTAGATCTTTTTGATTCCTCTTGTTGATTCTATTTATGCTTTTAGTTTTTTTCCCAACTATTATTTTCTACTTTCATAAGGTCTTATACAGTATTTCAAAATAAAGTAGAGGTTTAAAAAATCGTATTTTGTAATTTTGAAATCGAAAAATGAAATAATAGTATTTAAATTCAGTGTTCCTAAACAGTGTTGTATGGCCAAATTAATGGACTTATGGACCAATTGGAATGGTCCTTATTTGGACCATCCAATAAATTTAAATGGAATATAGGTCCAATAAATTTTATTTAAAAAAAAATTGTCATGTAAAAATACATAATATCCAATTAAATTACTAAGTTAATCTACTTATAACTCTAAGTTATTCTCCAGTTCTGATGGGGTAAGATCATTAAAATCAGCCCAATATGGCTTCCCAATGTCTGGCCGACGTTTATTTTATTCTATTTTATTTTATTTATATTATACAATCTAAAACATTATATAAAATGTTGTCTAAACTTCAGTAAGCCGTATCAGCAGTTCTGCTGGGCCGATTTTAATGATCTTATCACCATCAGAACCGAAAAGACCAAGAGAATAAGTTTACTTACGAAATTCGTATATAACTTAACTATTTTTTCTCATTTTATACAGTATAAAAAATGTTTCTTATCTGTTAAAAAAAATTTTAAATTAAAAAAGTGATCCGATATGAATTTGTACTAAGTTAATTTACCTTATGGTTCTAAGTAACGTTGTTTTCCTGGTCTTTCCAGTTTTGATGGTGATAAATCATAAAATCGACTCGGTAGAACTGCTTATATAGCTTCCCGAATTTTGGGCGATGTTTTTATATATATTTTTAGATAAATAAAAAAAAAACGCCGCCCAAAATTCGGGAAGCCATATCAACAGTTCTGCTAGGCCGATTTTAATGATCTTATCACCATCAGAACCAGAAAAACCAGAACAACTTTACTTAGAGTCATACGGTAAGTTAACTTACTATAAAATTCGCATTTGATCACTTTTCTTTTGTAAAAAAAAACTTTATTATGCCTTTAAAATAACAAAAAAATAAGATAAGCGATGCAGTTTTTGCGTCATTAAGTGAAAATTTATTTGAGATTTTGTAATTATAGTAGATAATTTAGCAATTTGATTGGTTTTTTTAATAATACAAGAATTTGATTGGTCAATTTGAATTAGACCTTTAAGGACCCCCTAATTTGGACCTGGTCCAATTCAATTAGTTCCATGTTCCAATTAAATTGGCACTGTTCCAAAATAAGCTGGCTCAATGAGCTATTTGTCACTCTCCAAGTAATTTTCATATAATAGTAATAGTTTATTTGCTACGTGTGTTGTGAACACTGATTTAAATTAAACTTGTTTGGTGATGTAGTTATAAAAAAATAACAATTGTTGAATAAATAAGCTTACAATTTCTTTCGAAAAAGGTGTCTGATTTTTAATTTTTGAAACTCCCTATTGCAGTAAATAATTAATTCGTGATTCTCATGGGAACCAGTGAAACACACATAGTAAACGTGGGGATAAGTTTAATATGTAAAATTTGCCTTTTTTTGGAATCTAGCGTTTACTGAGTAAATATCTCTTTCACTTCTAATAAAATTGTATAGGAGAAAACTGCGGTCATAATGGTAGTTAAACTGCTAAAATTGGTCTTGTTGATCGCAAGTTATAAACGTTTTAGTCTTCGCGGACATGTTTACTTCTTTTATCAAATCAATAAGCCGCGAAGACTAAAACGTTCATATATCACGATACACTGGGCCAATTTTAGCGATTTAACTACCATTATAATCTCAATAAACTCCTCTACAACTTTAATTAGAACTAAAAGAAGGTTTACTTAGTAAAATATCGATTTATTCTTATGGAAACGCTATATTAATAGTAAAAATCACATGATTTTCACTGGTTCCCAATTACCGGTAATTGCCATTTGCCACATGGGCATGATACGTGACAAATAAGGATTTACTAATTAATTATATTATCGAATCATTATTAATCACATTAATCACGCAACGATTCATCACACCTATTGTGGCTGCGCCATCAATCAATTAAATACATACGCATCAGATATTATATGAGAAAATAATCCTATTACTGTATTACGTTTAATTAATTATAAAGCCAATTTGGAAAGAAGAATATATATTATTATAATAACTAACTCAAACGATGAGCAAATATCAGATATTAGATTTTTTCTGTTTTGATATAGTATTTACACAATAATCTATTTTAGTGTGGGTACTACTGAAAAAAATTAGCTAGTTAAATTTTACGACATACAAATATAATTATTTCTAATGATAGTACCGATTCTGAGAAGTATATCGAATATGAACAACATCACCTAACTCATAATCAGTACCACCTATTCATTAAAAATTGTAAGAAAATTAATATACAGATGCTTGAAAATAATATAAATATAAATAAACATACATGTGGAATTTGGAGGAGAGCCACCCCCAACGGTAGCGATTCTAAGTGCATATGTGAAATCATTAAGTGCACCTTTACCTTTAACCGCCTAATAAAATTTATTATAGTATTGTTAGCAGATAAAATATAATACAACAACTTACTTACTTAAAAGGTTAATAGCAACATACATGAGGTAGAATTCGAATCCAAGCAAGGTTTTCGGGACCATCAGGTGATGGGATACTCGCATCGGGGGCTTCCCAAACAAAAGATGTATCCCCTGGAACTAACGACTCATAAATAGCTCTTCCACCCTTATAAGCTATAAGAAAAGTTAGTAATTAAAATAATTATTAATTATATTTGAGTGTTGGTAAAGGAAAACAAGAATTCTTGAATTCGGATATTTCACTTTTGGAGAGTTACGTCTTAATCAGCCCTTGAATAATTTAATCCCGTAAAATACATGCAATCGCGATCATATGAGCTGTCATCAATAGAAAACAGGTCGAAAAAATGTTAATCTACCTGTTTTCTATTGATGACAACCCATATCTTCAGGCCCAACTCTGTAAGTGGAAATATCTGAATTCAAGAATTTATATCTTCCTTTGCCGACACTCATTTCACAAAAACTGACATGAAAGATACATACGTGGGTTTGAGAAGTAGTGGCGAACAACAAAGCATTCAGGTCCATATCCGATTGGAATATCATTTGTAAGAAATGTGTCATAATTTGCTATGCAATAATATGGTGAGTATGAAAAGTATTGGCACGAAAAATAATAATTAAAATTAACTTACTTATATTCCAAAACTTTACATCATCTTCACAAGTACAATTATATTCCGCTGTTCCAATAGCATATAATAAAAATTTAAATTTACTGGTACTAGGTATTTGAATTTCTTCTGGGATTTTGATATCTGTAGGTTCCTCTACATATACGATAAAGATAAATTAGTCTTAAATACCATGAAATTTTTTTGCATAAATAAAAATGCTTACTAGTAATAACACCAATTTTGTCACCGACACATTCTGCGCCACGACGACGATATTTATCATTCCGTTTTATAGCAAATACATCTTCAGGACTAAAATTTATCAGCAAAATTAGAAGCGTTAAAAAAATAAATAAATTATGCTTGGAATTCATTTTAAGTAAATAGTATGTATTAGATTAAATTTCGAGAATTTAATAAAGCATGGATGAAAATTTTAATTGAATATTTATACCTTTTGACTAATAGACATTTTTTACTAATCTTTCAGAAGTTTTTTTTTACTCGTGCACGAAAAAAAATACGAGCGCGTCGTGTAATTACTAATAATAGTGAATGTACATATTATATAAATTATTAATAAATAGTAATGTTTATGTTTAAGTGTAGCATCTTACAAATGAACTGAGTGAGTTTCCAATTTATATAGAAGTTTCTTTATACAATCAAGACCTTTTTTAAAAAAATAATAAGAATTGCATTTATGAAGGTTAAATATATTTTTTGGGAAGGAAATCTGACTGTTGCTAATTTTATTTTAAAGCTTGACATAATTAAAATTACAATAAATTTATGATGAAAATTAAATTATTCTAGTTTTCTAAAAAATTTTAAAATAACAATATCAAAAAAAAAAAATTGGTAATTTTTTCCCTGGAAATTTGGCATTCGCGAATACGTAACAAAACATTAGCATTTTGGAAACGCTTTTTTAATAAATTAAAGCCAATCTTAATTTTTCGCTCCTTAAAATTAAGGCTACTTATGGCAAACTTTAAATGAACTTTACAATTTTTGCTGATTTTTTCTTTAAAAAACCTTATTTAATGTTCTTCGCTCTATTTCTGTACATGTACTCTCAAGTAACAACACTTCTTAAACAAGATAATTGTAAATTTATAGTTATGAATAAAGGAAATTATACGTACAGAGAGTGTATCCGAATTTATGGGCTGAGTATGGACGTACATATTTGTATATTGTGCACATTCAGGGATGTGAAAAAATTTTGAGCGATTGTAGGGCGAATAGATATTTTTATGAATTAGGATAGCTGCACGACATTCGCGCTAAAACTGGGAACGTGTAGCGGTAAACTGTAATTTCAATTAATTTTTGCGATACATTATAAACCAGGTGTAACTAAGTGAATGTACCCAGGGACCCAAAAATTTCATATCGTTACGTAAAAATTGCTTTGAGTAACGGCAGCAAATGTTTTTTATTGTAATATACGTAGCGATAAAAATTGTCTAAAATGTTAAATTGAACTAATTTATGTTGATCTGAGCATGGCTATTGACCAGTAAAATTTTAATGTACAAATGATTTTGTTAATTTATTGTCGCGGATTATGGTGAAATTTGGACCTATTTTAATATGAAAATTTTAAAATTTTTGAGGTATATTTTCTTAGCTTTTTTTTTTTTAGAGTTAAGTTAGGGTTTAGGGTTAGAGTTATTTAGAAAAGAGTATAAGTAGATTTTAGTAGGGCTTGTATTTTCAAAAGAAGACCCCAAATTTCACCATAATCCGCGACATTTATTGTAAGCGAAAACTAATAATTACTACTCATATTTATCTCGCTTAAAATTAACCCAAATCAACGATTTAGCATTTATTAACTGGCGGTGGCTCTGCTTCATCTTAATAATGGACAAATATAATGATAATGTATTGCTTCTCGAAGTGAATTTCATTTAAAGATGTGAAAAGTCCGAAGGTATTCGAATTTCGACCGGAATTTCACCGAAGTGTCCTTTTCTTAGAGTGTTGTTACTATTTTAAATTGGGAGCGATTAATAATGTCCGGTTTAGCTCTAATAGTTAACGTGGTACGGGATTATAATAATATAAGGATACGAGATAGGGGATTCGATACTATATTTATTGAGAGTCGAGTACTATCTAATAATCAGAGGGATGATTTAAGGAAGGGTCGGAAGTATAGTGATTCAATTAAGGGTGGCGTTAATCTTAATCGTACAGTATAACGATAATAAACAATAACTTAAACGTGATCCAAACGTTGACAATAATAAACTAATCCAATTGGTTGTATATCAGAATCCCGACACACAAAATCCTAACACACAAAATCCTGACAAATTACAGCTGTTCTCACCGAATTCGATAAGTTACTGATTTCGGTCGAAATAAATAACTTATCAACCGAAATCAATAACTTATCGAATTCAGCAATCAAAATTTTATCAGTTGTCCCAGAATTTATGAGAACAGCTGTAAAATCGATACTCAAAATCCCGACACTCAAAATCCCGATACTCAAAATCCCGATACACAGAATCCTAACACTCAAAATCCCGTTACTCAGAATCCCGATACTCAAAATCTTGATACACAGAATTCTGACACTCAAAATCCTGACACACAGAATCCTGATACTCAAAATACTGAAATACAGAATCCCAACACTCAAAATCCCGAAACATAGAATCCCAATACTCAAAATCTTGAAACATGGAATCCTAATACTCAAAATCCCAAAACACAGAATCTGATACTAAAAATCCTAAAACATAGAATCTTATTACTTAAAATCCTGATACTCAGAATCCAAACATTAAGAATCCTGATACTTAAATTCTGATGCAATAAAAATCCTAGCAGAATTCCAATACAACCAAAATCTTGACATTATTTATAAAATTTAATCTAATCATTTAAGATATTATGTAATTGCTGGAAATAAAATATAAAAATTGTATTGTATGATTGAATTTGATTAGTTAATTGCTTTCTTTTATTATAGATTGCTTATAAAACTCTTATAAAATTGCTTATAAGTTGTATTAATTTTTCTATAGATTTTATAATTATTGATTAGTTGATTATTTTATTATGCTTATGAACCCAATAATTTTATTAGTAAAAATCATATTATTTGATCTTATAATCAAAAATTTATTTTATTTTAATAATCACTAAATTCCTATCAAAAATTCTAGTTTATATAAGTATATGAAAAGTAATTTATTAGATGAAATTTTAAGATTAATGTAATTTTTCATTATGATATATATATATATATATTAATTTAATTTTTTTTTTAATTTTTTTATAATTTTCTTCATTTTAGTTAGTTATTTTTTTTTTACTTTATACAAATATCATCAGCTAAAACTTTTAATAGTATATTAATAGTAAGAAAAAATACATATTGTAAAGGTACAACTAACTATATATATAATTTTAGATTGTCTATTTTAAGTAGTTACTATAATCACTAAAGATTCTATACTAGTTGTTATACCTGAAATTTATTCAAAAAATTTTTATTTTTTTTATTTTATTTTATTTTTTTTTTAAATTCAGCAGCTATGTCTCAAGTTTATTCAAACAGTTTATAAAACAAACTTTTTATAATTGAATTTATATTCTAATATATTTGATTATTTAGCTGAAACTTATCTAGTTACTCAAATAATACTTATGTATAGTATGCTATAGTTAGTTTTTTATTTTTGCACTATTAGATTCAGTCACTCAAATACTCCTATGTATTAAATAGTCTCAAAACTTTCTAAAAAAAATTGTTACTATCTAAAAATTCTAAAGCTAACTAACAAAGAAAACTCTATCTTAAGTTAAAAACTTTGTTAAACAGTAACATAATAGAATAGGCTATATAGAAAAACAAAAAAAAAAAAAAAACAAATATACTCTTTAACTTGAACTAGGTTTAAAAATTTTAAGTTAGCAGACTTATAATTTATTTTAAATTATTCTCTCTCTAATATTATAATCTATCTTTATTATTTTATAATAGTATATCAATTGCTATTTATATCTTCTTATATACTCATAGAACTAGTTTTAACAAAATAAACAAAACAAAACATGTGTTTCTATATATTTGTTTTCTGTTTTGTTTATTCTTATAGTTATATACTCAATAGAGTATATCTAAAAATAGATATAATAAATAATACTAATCTTTTGTAAAAAAAAATCTAAATTCTCTATTTTTATCAATATAAATAGAAGGCTAGTGAAAAAAAGCTTGTAATATATAGTTATTTTCTAAGATTTTAAGGAGTATATTGTTATAAGATAGATTTTAGCATAATTTACATTATATTTTTATTAGTTATATTTATTATTATTTTAGTATTATTTCTTATATTTATATTATTTTAATTTAGATATTTTATAATATAAAAATTTGTAGAAAATATTTACCTCTAAGTGAAATCCCTCAAGAAGTATTCAGATTGAAAAATAGTTCTAAGTAACTTTTTAGATGAGAACTATGACTACACGATGATATAATATTTATCTGAAGTTATTATGTATGATACAAAGAAAACTTAAGTGACAGCTGATATAATATGATAATTACTGTACTAAATGCTATATCACTTACTGTACTAATTTATTTATAGTAACACTTAAGTGATGTCTAAGTGATACTAGTATGAATGCTTATATGATACCTAGATGACTCTTTAATAACCCTTAGTTGACCCTTCCACAAAGCTTTACTAAAAGATATAAATACAAGTAGTTTTTCTCTCAAGTTCAATATTCCAAAAAGTCAGTTAGTTATCTCCTTTTCTAATAATAAATAGAGTTCAAAATCTCCTTCTCTATAGTTATAGAGCATAACTACTCATATATCTTACTTTAAATATATCTATCTTTAATAAAATATATCAATTATAAATAAACTGCCTCTTTAGAGATGAGTATAATTCTTTAATGATATAAGAATTATACCTTCCTTTTTGATACTGCTTCTTAAAGTCTCTAGATAGCTGTATTCCTGTTATAGTTAGTATATAAAAAGGCTTAGAATACACTTTCTGTAACATTTGGTGCCTTTTGGTAGAAATATATCAAAATTCTTCCTCAAATCTCTCTAGAAGAGAAAAGAAAGAGAAGACCAAATTACAATTATATATCGTATACTCTCAATATCTTTACGAATATCAATACTACAGAGATGAAATATATACTATTCTACTCATAAAAACATACTCTACAACTTTTATTATAATATATCTTAGAGTGAAATGCTTTTATGACCCACAAAACAGCTTTGAAGTATTATTATAGCATTTTCAAAATGATTTATATAGAAAAAAACCTAAAAAAGTAAGAGAAATATAGTTTCAGAGAAATACAAAAAATTGATATATCTTATTATTCTGTAAACAGATTTTAATGTTTCAATATCTATTGGAATCACAGAGATCTACCTTATAACTTTACTTAAGACCCCAAGATGAGGTTACATAGTACTAATACCCTTCTGGAACAAGATTTATAAAATTAATCTACAAAGTATCTTTTTCTTATTATGCTATATAGATGAAAATATTTTTGAATATTTTTTCTACTCTCAACATAGTAGATAATACTCATATAACTCATTACTTTTAGGTTACTATATACCTATAGTTATTAAAAAAAGTAAGTTTTTGAAACAGAGATATAATCAAACTCTTTAATACTCTATAGAGTTTATAACAACTTATCTTAGGAACATGTTGATATAATATTATAGATTTATATATTAGATAATAACTATACCCAACTCACTTGTAGTAATAGAACTAGAATATTATGAATATTATATTAAATATTATTTTTATTGAAACAGTTTGCTACTTCTGAGTAAAAGTTAGCTGATAGTAAGAATGTTACTATCCTTTGCAAAAGAGATATTGTATAAAAAGACTTACAGTTTGTCAATTCTGAGTAAGATATAACTGATAGTTTTTATATTGTTACTCTCTAAAAACATAGAAGAATTTAATTTAATTTATCAAGCTGAGAAGATTCTATTAAGTATTCTTGAGCATCAATGCTTAGAAAGTTTAACTATGTACATATTAATGAAAAACTTTAGATTAAATTTTTATTTGAATAAATATTTTAAATATAACTCATAATGAATATTCTTAGATACAATATTTCTGAATGATAACAAGAAGATTAATAGATGAAATATTATTGATAACAAAACAATTCCTAGATAAAACATTCCTGGATGATAGAGAAAATACTTGGATGAAAAAGAAATTTTCAAATAAAATATTTCTAGATAGTGAAATTAATTCTTAGATGTAATATTCTAGAATAATTATAGAAATTTTTGAATATCAAATTTTTGGACAATTGAGATAGCTTGCAGCTTACTACAATCCTACAAGAAGAGAAATTCTCTGCTAGACAAGTACTCCACGAGCCAATTATATAGACATAAGGACCTAGTAAAATTTTGAAAATTATTATAATATCTATAACTTAATTTTTGTATCGATACAAACTTTGATTACTCTATTATAACTTCTCTTATGATTATAAACCTCTTCTCTCTTCTTATATATTTAATGATAAAACAAATTGAATCAGAGCAAATTTTTAAAATTTTTATCTCCTTTTTATTTTTTTTAACCTTTTCAGCAAGTTATGCCAATACTTTATTTGTAATAAATTTTGTACTTGACAAAAATATTAGAAT